TCCCCCTGCTCCCGCAAACTTGGCGTGCGCGGCTGCACGTCCAACGACCACCTCGTGGATTGTGTTGGGCACCCCGAGGGTATTGAGCTGACACTCCAGACTATGCCGGGCCAAATCAGGGTTGTGATTGTCGTGGCAAGAGGAGGGAACTTACTGGGAACGATAGACACCAGGGATAATGCCGCGATACACGACGAACCAGCGGTCATCAAGTTGCTCGGCGCCGTTGAGTGGGTTCACATCGGCGCGCTCGCCTGAGACCGCAGGTTGGGGGAGGGCAGGAATGGGCCTGGGTGGTGAACCCGAGACTCGTACCCAGGACCGCTCCTGAGCGTATCGGAAGGCGGCGTCGGTTTCAGCCTTGGTTGAATACCCACGGTAAATCGAGCACGGAACGCCTAAGACGAGTGGGCCAGCCTCATCCCTGATCAATGATTAGAGGGGGGATGTGGATGCAAAGGAGAGGCAGAACTTACCAGGTACGCATAACACCGCAACGGATCCCAGAGAAGACGACGTAGGCCGCTTTTTTCGTGTGAGCTTGCTTGCGGCGGCCGCCAGTTTGCACCTTGCGGACTGTTGCCCCGGGTACACCCTGAGTGGCAAATCCTGTGTCGTCCCTGAACAACGTGGTTATCGGTGGGCCACGGAAAAGAGGATGGACGTACCAATTATTGCTGGATCCTGAGCCACTGGGTGACTGAAATCGGTAGACGGGTGAGCGTTCAAGCGGCGCAAAGGTGTAGGTGCGCAGTCGAGCAGTTGGGAAGGTGTGGCGCTCAGAGTAAGGTGGAGGTCGCGGAGATGGGGTCCTCGGAGGTGTCAGTGAATTGTCCGCGTCTGTGACCGGCGAGGAGGGCAAGAAACTCGGGATCAATGTCGTCGAAGGCGTCGGTGGTCATGAAGGCAAGTGAAAAGACGGAAGTGAGAAGAGGATCATGATGGCCAAGAGGTCGCAGCAGAAATCGAAAAGGTCCCATCAGAAGTACAGGCGTTGCATCAGAGCGACCATCAGAACTGGCCGCCTGCAAGGATGCGAAACCTCCGCATGGTAAGTGCTCTCAGTTGCCGAGCGAGCGGGGAACTTGACTGGAGGAGCTCACCGAGGGAAGTTAAGGGCCGCAGACAGGAGAGAACAAGACGAAGCTCGAGCACCGAGAGGAATCTTTCGTGTGGAAGGGGCTCTTGTGCAACAAAACATGCCACGAGGAAGATCGAGTTGGTGGTGATGGGGGAGAAGAAGAAGCAAGACACGATCTGTCCCCATTTGTTTCCACGGCATTTGATTGGATCATAGATATTGAACCCCAAATGGATTCACGCGAATCAAATGCATTTACGGGACAATTCGAGGCTACGCGACGAGTACACTAAACTAGGCGGTTGGATTCGAGCCCATGCGCCAGTTGGCCTGCGGAAAGTCACCATCAGACAGGAACATCGAAAAAGATGGTGGGGCTTACAATCAGGCGGAGATGACGGCGAGCATGCGGTAGTCGAGGCTCTCGTTGAACACGTCGAGGGCCTGGGACTGAGTCTTGTAGGCCCTCATGTGGCTGCCGGAGGCCCCGACAACCGACGCGAGCGCCAAGGGGTTGCTGAGAGTGACGCCAATGTAGCGCCCTTTGGTGATGGCGTACCAAAGGGGGGAGTCTTCACCCTCTGCGACGGGGTCCTTGGCAATGGGGAGAAGGTGCGAAGTGGGGACAACAATGTATAGGTTCCCCGCGATCCACGGGCCCCTGGTCTGGAATCCAGCACGGGGAGGAGGGGACGGCGGCTGGTCCTCGGCGACCGACGCAGCAGGCGCCGTGTCGACATCCAGGGCGTCGTCGGTGTGCTTGACCGTGGGGGCTGCCGAGGATCCTGTATGAAGAGTTTAACAGTTGATATAGTCGACGAGAACGGGAGAGTTACCTTGGGAAAGTGCAGTGAGCGCATTGAAGAATTGAAGAGCAGCGACAGCTCGGGCTGGAGAAAGCGAGGTCAGTACATGAAAGAAAAAAGGAAAAGAGGAGATACCGTTGTCGCTGCCCGTGAGGGGCGCCGCTCCTGGGACAGAGGACATCTCTGTGCCAGGAGCAGTGGGTGTATGGGCAGTCATGATCACGGAAGGGGGCCGGGTGGGCTGGATGATGGGGGAAAGAAGGAGAGATGGAGCGATGGGGCGCACATGCTCCTCCTTTATACGCCGCAAGGATGTTTCGAAGTCCGCGTGATGTCAGGTAAAAGAGGAGGAATCGAGCGAGGTGTGGGACATAAACAAAATTGCAACAAACAAGACTCACCTTTGACGACTTCACGGACACAGCCAACGGGACAGACAGAGCCAACAGGAGTTTCCGAGGGTAAATTTCCAGTCCTGAGTGACTTTGCTGAGCGAAACTGAATAGGCCCATCGTGCAGAGATGGCTCGAGAAAAGAGAAAGGCACGGGAACGTGTTCCCAAAGAATCGCGGCAGAACTTGAAATCCTGGGCAGAAGGAGCACGACAGTCCGTACTGGCGGCGCTCAGAGCGGACCTACCACAGGAGTGTTTGCAACGAGTTCCACACGCGCATAGACTGGAGACTTTCGGACCACGAAGAGCCAGTTCTAACGGATTACGACCCCAAAGCTGTAGTCGAGAGGGAAATCTTGTCCGAGGACGACGAGAAACGGAAGCGCGCTCGTATTGATGTGCTGAATCGGGTAAGCCATCAGCATCACGTGTGACAGTGAGCTCACCACCAACAGCGAATCCGTCGATGGCTTGCGTACGGAGCGCGCAAGGTCTACAAGCACCGCGGGAACAACGGCAGGAAGCCCACTAAAGACCCTTTTGCAGTCCTCCTGGCCAAACTTTCCGGCTTGAAGGCACCACCAAAAGCTCGACAGGGATTCCAGCAGTACATGACGGAAGCGTACGAAGACAAAATCTTACCTACCATCAAAGACGAATGGGACACAGCGTGCGAAAAGGACCCTCAAAAATACCCCACGAAGGCACCCAAGGCGGGATTCCGCGCGCAAGTCGCGCGTAAGATCTTCAACGACTTACCCCAGGCAGAACGTACTGCTATCGGAGCTCGGGCAGCGGCAGAGGCAAAGGCGGCTCACACCAAGTATGAGCAGGCGCTGACTGAGCCGCCGTCACGGGATCCTGCTCGAATTCAAGAGTAAGCTTGTCATTTTTGTTAGAATGCGGCTAACTAATTAAAATAAGGTGCATTGATGCTATCCCCGATTTCATGGGGCCAATCTTGAGTGGCATACAAGACTATACCGGCCTACATTCCGTGCTGGTGCTGGGAGGGCCCATCCCAAAGCATGGTGGGGACCTGAGGACGCTCCAGTACATGTTATTCTTTTCTGCGCCAGATAGACTCACGAGTTTTCAGTGTTTCTGCGGGCCGCAGCAACACAAGTGCCGCGCATCACTTTGCGCAATATGATAGACCGCGTTTTAATCGGGAAGTCCTCGAGTTCATGAAGGAATACTTGCGTAAGACCTTTAGTGAGTGCTTAACAATATGACTCTGTGCAATCGACTAACGGAGGAACCCCAAGCTCCTGCGGAGTGCGCTGCTGTGGCCATACCAACCACCGACTTGATGGCGGCCAAGTACACAATTTCTCAAGGCAGCGACTTTGACCACGCCTCTGGCAGCTCGGCGGCCGATGTCTCGAAGGCCAAAGGGAAGAAGAAGGAGGTCACCGCTGCCGACGCTGACACGGACTCGTCTGATTCCGAGTCTGGGTCAGACTCTGACGAAGATTCCGACGGTGACAGTGGAGACGAGGAGCGGCCCAAGCAGAAGAAGCGCAGGATCGCGGAGCACAAGGGCAAGGAGAACGCAAACGCATCCCCGCCGACCGCCCCGCCAGTCCGAGGGACCTCGCCCCTGACTTACATGCAGCAGAGGGACGCGAATATCGCGAAGAACCAGGCGTTGGCGCAGCAGATGTTCGGCGATGACACGCCCCTCTTCGCGCCTCCACCCGCGAAGATGCCGCGGGGGGAGAAGCGCCGGAGGTCGAAGGGAGATGGGGCGCCTGCAGCAACGTGCAAGTCGACGCGCCTCGCGACCACGGAGACGCTGCCTACTGCTCAGGAACTAGGCCCCACCCGTGCGTCCACCCCCACTCACACCCCAACGACTCCCGCTCACCCGCCCATGACTCCCGCTCACGCGCTGATTCCCACCGCCCCGACGAGTCCCACCCACCTGCCCACGACTCCCGCTCACGCGCCGACCATTCCCACTCACGGGCCCATGACTCCCGCTCACGCGCCCACGACGCCTGCTGACGTGCCCACGACGCCCACTCACGCCGCGACTCCCACCGCCCCCATGCCAACTCCGGCTCACGTGCCGGCACCAGCCTGCCCGCCTAAGGCGCTGGCGTGGTTCGTGGAGGCGCACGCCCAGATCACCCGCGAGGATCTGGGGCCGCATTACAATGCGGTGGTGGCGGCATGGATCCGAGTCGAGGCGGCGTCACGATACGAGCAAGGGCCGACAAACCTACCCAACAAGTCGCGCCCGACGCAGGTCACCGCGTGGATCGGGAGTGCGCGGGGCAAACGGGCATGCGACACGTCGGTGCCGAATCCCACCGCGTACGCGGCGAAGTGGCAGAAGTGGTGGGACTCCCTCCAGCTGGCTTGGAGGGAGAGAGCAGAGGACGGAACATGGGCGGTGACGGGGGGGTACGGGGCGAATGGGAAGGAATGGGGCCCGCTGTATCAGTGGGGAGTGAGCGGGACGCTGAGCATCATCGCGTCGCTGCTGTTTTGGGGATGCGCCGTGCGCGAAGACGACGAGGCAAGATCAATGTGGGAGGCCGCAGTTTTGGATGTTGGATGGATGCTTGAGGGTTTGGCGATTACGAAATGTTCAGCCGTAAATTTTGAGTCAATTCAATGCAATTCATATCTATGTATGTATGTATGAGTCGCAAAAAAAATTGGCAAGACTTGGTGTAATCCTGACGGTAAGCGAAAAAAAGAAGTAAAACGCTCAACCCAGGATTCGAACCCAGGATTTCCTGCAAGTCATATGTGGTAGAGGCAACAACAGCGGGCGCATTACCATTGTGCTAAATAATCGTGGCTTGCTTTTCTACTTGAGGTTTATAGCCCCACAGAAAATGAAACCTTTAAGGACTTTGGCGGAAATTTTTCTAAGGTCGACCAAAATCTCAAATCATAAGTAATAATGTAAGTCTGGGATATTGTTCGAAGATACATAGGAATACCAATGACAAGTTAGATGCTATGATCAACGGATTTCGGAAGGATGGCTGATGAATGAGATAAGTTGTGGCACCGCTATGCGGCCACAATACACGCGATATAACGGGACGGTTTTGTGTGTATGTGGGGGGGTTCGGGCGTCCCGGGGCGGCTCGACTTTCCGAGGCGGCGTGAAAGCCGCGGGAAGTTCCGAGTCGGAAAAGGACGCGCCGGGGACGACCGAACCCGTACACAAGGGCCGCAAAGGGACGGCGAACGAAGCCCCAAAGCAACCCAGCTGAGCGGAGCTCCAAGAGCTGAAGGCTCGTGCGAGGGCGAGTGAAACGGGCCGAGGGCCCCAAACAGAGCGCAGCGAAAGGCAGATAAAACATGTTGCAGCTCAATTAAACAAAAGATTACAATTCAAACAAATCCACGTCGCCACCGGCGGGGTGACCGTGCGCCGCGGCGAACTCGGCGATGCGCGCGTCCCACGCACGAGTAATGTCCAGGGGCAAAATCTTCTCCAAACGGCGCCAGTAAATCAAAAAACACAACAATGACCAACCACCCAGCTTCATGATGACCTCGGGTGCGACCCCCGCGACCAGCAATGCCAACGAACCACCGATGCGGAAGCTGTGGCCGAACACTAGTTCCAACGAGCCCGTCTTGAAGACATTTGCGGCAAAACGCAAGAAACGGTCCTTGGTGAGGTGCTCCCATCCCGTTGGCGAGCGGAACGCAAAGAGAGGCGTGTGAGCAGGAGGGGAATGATTGACGCGGCGGTGGTTGTCGAACGCCCAGACGGGGCAAAGGTCGGCATCAGGCCCAACGATCTCGGTGAGGATACACTCGCCACCAGCTATCGTTGTCGTCTTTGTCCAAACCAGGTGGATATCCCGCACCTCGCGCCTGTTGACGCGTGAATGGGAGATCCGGGTCTCGCGGCAAGTATCATGCAAGGACGAGAACTTGGAAGCGCTGCATATGAGGAGCTCCCCGAGGCGGCGGCAGCCTCGATACGCAGAGCACGCCACCGCCCACACCGCTGCACCAAATGGGGAGCCCAAGTCGAGGGAAGCACGCAGCGCCCGCATGTGCTCGTCCGTGACGGGGCCACGCGGTGGACGCTTGAAGGTGATACCCCTCTTGTCAGCGGATTTCTTCAACGCAGGAAGCCACCCTTCATCGCCGTGCCACGGCGCATCATTGAACAGGTGCCATAAACGAAGACCGCTGAGCCAATTTCGAATGCAGCCCCCGGTGCACGAACCGATGGCCTCGGCAACGAACGCGGCGAGCAGGAACCGATCCGCTGGCATCCGCGCGGATTCAGGGATCCCCTCGCGATCACAGAACTGGTGGAAGCGGAGGAGGCCGGCACCGTAGGAGTCCCGAGTATTCGATACCTGTGCCTGAAGCAATCCCTCGTAGATGCGGCGTTGCAAATCGAGGCGAACGCCTGCGGCCTCCAATGCGGCGTGGGCAACCAGCGAGAACGGGGACGTCCACAAGAGCACGCGCCGGTCTGCGGGAACGTGAGGACGATACTGCGAAACGGCCAGCTCCCTGCCCTTAGCGGCACGGCGAGCGCGCTTAGTGGGCAACGAGGCCGCGGCAGCTGTCCGCACATCGAGAAGAGCAACGTGGGGTTCCGCGGCCCGCGAGGAGGACGAGATGTGGGTCCCGAGTTCGTGGTTGGATAGATTGTCAAAGGAACGGCGACGCCATGGCGATGCAGAACGCGAACGTGGGAACGGTGCGGGATGGATGATTGAGTCCGCCAGCACGTGAAGAGGATCGAGGTGGAGGCCTCGGAGCGGCTCCACCGGAACGAAGGGCGGGGCCAACAAACCAGGAGACTGGGTGATGGAAGGAAGGGCCGACTGGCGCAAAGATTGCGGCAAAAAAGGAGATAAAACCGGACTACTGCAAATTAGGTAACACCAGGGACAAGACAGTATATCAACGCACAAATCCCCAATGGAAACAGAATGGGCTGAAGGCAACGAAAAGAAGGGTGAAGACGAAACGAACGAGCTGGACCCAGTTAGGTGATGGGACACGCTGAAAACCAAAACAACATACGCAATTCCCAAATCGGGTGACGATGACACAACTACGGGCACGGACGACGGCGTGGGAGACGGGCGAGACAGCGCGAGGGCGAGCGCGGACAATGAAGAAAGTGGCGAGATGCCATCGAGTGCACGCAGATGAGAGAATTCAGAGCATGTGCTAGACAAAGACATCAGCGAGTTCAGCTGGAAGCTGAAACCCACAGACGAGGCGGTCGGCAGCACGCAAGTGGTCACAGGTGAGCCCGCGAGATGGAGCGTCAGCGAGATTGTCGGCGGACGGGACGTAAATAATGTTAGGGGTAATCAACAAACCCGCCGTGATCGCGAAAGTGCGTCGCGCGCAGAGGTTGATCCCGACATTGGGGGAGCGCCCCTTCTTGTGGGCACCGATGGCACCTTTGTTGTCTGAACGTACGAGTAGATGGACCTCGCGGAAGTTCATCTGCTGCAAGAACATAAATAACAGCTCGATTGCCACTGATTTGAGCCAACAGATGTCAACGCCTGGCTGCTTCCAATCCGGTGCAAGCTGCCAAGCGAACCAACGCGTCCCAATGACGACGGCCACGCCCCAGGACGTACTCGCGTCGACGTAGATCCCGAAATCCCGCAAAACTCCGAGCGGGCGGAGTTGGCGGTAGAGCGAAACCTTGGACAACTTCGCATCCCACCACAAGAGCGTCTTGAAGGCGGTATTCGAAAGATGGCGCTTGGCGAATCTGTTGCCTTTGAAAGCCGCCATCGCGTTGGAAAACACGGCAATCCGTGAAGCACCATCCGTAATGACAAAACACAAATGACATAGCGAGCCGTGCAGCTCCTCCAGCTGCAACAGTGTGAACCGGCGCGACTCCCGCATCGCCTGTACCGCGTCGCGGACACGCGCCAAAAACTTCCGACGCTTGACGTCCGGAAGCGAGACGCGACGCCGGACGAAGTCCTAGAGGAGACCCAAGTAGACGACCTGGTCGAGAAAGCGGTCGCCGGTCTTCACCGGGTGCCATGGTGTATGGACGGGTTCGATGGGAGCAACAATAGTTGTCCGATCGAAACGATAACGGCAATCTCCCGAAGAGAATGGGCCGAACTCGTTGGGCCGGCGAATCACGCACGAATCGTCCTCATACTTCACTGCCTCCCCGTCCACACCCATCTCCGCCCTCCACATGTCCATGATGGCGTTGAAGATCTGCCCCGCATTGCTGCTGGCAGAGGCAGCTCCGAACGGAAAACAGTGATCGAGGTGGAAGCCACCCTCGAAGTGCACGACGAGGAACGGCTTGTGCGCGGGAAGGACGGGACATGTACGATGGAAAGATTTGATATCAAAAGCACATCCTTGTGAACCCGGAGGCAAGGTCGCGACCTGGGAATTAATTATATATCAGCCTCCCAAACTTACTGCAAAGGAACCCTAATAAAACAACGGGCCGCGTGACGTGCAAACAACTTCGATGCATGAGATGACCGGCGTGCATGAGCGCGGGACAGACAGGCGCACAAGTGCGGGACAAACAGGCACCCGAGTGCGAAACAGAGGGCGCATGAGCGCAGGACAGACGGGCGCACGAGTGCGGGACAGACAGGCGCAAAGCGCGGGACAATGGGCGCAAAGCGCGGGACAGACGGGCGCAAAGCGCGGGACAGACGGGCGCAGAGCGCGGGACAAATGAGCGCAGGGCGCGGGACAAACGAGCGCCAAGCGTGGGACAACGGGCGCAGAGCGCAGGACAAACGAGCGCAAAGCGCGGGACAACGGGTGCACGAGCGCGGGACAAACAAGCGCAGGGCGCGGGACAGATGGGTGCATGAGCGCGGGACCAGAGGGTGCACAGGCACATGAAATAACAACCGCTGCCGAAGCTTTGGCATAAAGGAGGGACAACGCGGCCCGGAAGAAATGGAAAGGGGTAAAGGAAACTGAGAGAATGAGAACTCACCAACTCGGCCATCTTCCAAGGCATATCGAAAGAAGTTGGAAAGTCCTCTTTGAAGATAAACTCGTTGACCGCAGGCGTCCCCGAACGCGCATCCCCTTTCGAGAGGTTCCGGCAAACCCGCTGCTTCGGGTCCATACCGGGGCCCATGTCTTGCGAAGCCACGATCAACGGCGACGCATAGAATGGGCCCCGACAAATCTTCTCCATCTGCTCGCGCGAGAAGGGGCCCTCCATCCTACCCGCATCGATCTCGGAGTCCAAATACTCCACGGTGGCAGCGCGCTCCTCGAGGGCCGAAGGGTGATTCTCGAGAACAATGGTCGACGTAAGGCGGGGCATACGGCCCAACACGAAACCGTTGCGAAGATTGCCCGACAATAAAGGGTAGTTTGTTGTTAGATTGTGTTTCGTGAGCAAAATGTCGAGGGCGTCCACGTCGTAGGGCTGTACGATGCGATCCAAAAGAAAGGATAGATTATCAATCGCGACACTCGGAGCAGGGCGGTGCCCAACGAACGAGGACAGATCAGAATACTGCAGGTTAGTCTGTGTTGGGGATAGGATGTTCTCGGTGTGTGCATGCAAAGGAAGGACCGGTTCAGGGCAGAAAAGCCCCGTCCCGGACTCGTTTACAGGTGTGGTGCCGCAAAAGGGCGCTGTGCTCGCCCCCACACAACGAGCAGATATGAAGGCGTTCTGGCGGATGGGCGCCGACACACCGCCCGGTGACATTGAAGAAGATGCAGATTGACCTCGGGGTGTTGCCCCGAAACGACCCGACTGTACGTACGTCGCGCCCGTCCCACTTGGAGAAGAAAGGTACACCATCCCGAAAGGAAGAAATATTCCC